GACTTCTCAATTCGTTCTAGTCAGAGCTACCTCAGAACTAAAGTGTTTGAAATTGAACGTGGTGTTTGCCAGTTTTGTAATCAAAACGCTCAGGAGCTTTATCTCAGCATCAGAGGTGCACCCAAGAGTCAGCGTAAGAAACTTCTGGAGAGTTCTTGGATGTCTCACCTTCCACTTGGGCAGGTAATAATACTGGTTTTTAAGCCGTAATAGCTAATCTGTGTATTCCTGTAGCAGATAGATCAGAGAAATCCCAAATGTTGTTCTTAGGGGTTTAAGATAGAAGGTTAGCCTAGCACCAACAACAGAATAAGAAAAAACGAAATCTTAAACACAAAGCCCCCCAACATCTACAAATGTTCATTGTCAAAAGGCACAGGCATCACAATTCGGATTCCTTAGGGCTGTGATTTACTCGAAATGTACTTTATTAACAAATTTTATGGTTATGAAACAATTTAAGAATGGAGGTAGTCTGGTAGCACTAGGTTATTCCTACTTTGCAGAATGTTTGGTAGGAGCTTAACAAAAGCTAGTTGTCACAGCTCCTCTCAGAATCACCTCAGAATGCATTACAAACTACCACCGTTCTGCCATGGTTGTGATTTGCTTCTGCACTGACTTGAAGGCAACAGAGCAGGGAGGGAGAACATTCCTATATAAAGGGTATTTCTATTCAGAAACTATTTTATTTTCTGCTGCAAAGTTGAAATTCTGCTTCAGAAGTTACTGGTTCTAAAACCGTTTAAATAAATTCTGCAGACACCCATTTAAACTTGCAAAAGAAAAAACCATCACTCGTCCTATGCATGAGATCAGCTTTGTTGCTTGCAGCTTTTGAAAATAAGGTGGTGCATGTCCAAAAGACTGAGCTGAGAACTCTTGTTGGAGTGAGGTTTCTTGCAACCTTCCAAGTGAGCAGACCGGTGTTGTGTTTAAGTTAGTTACCTTTTTGAAAGCTGGCACAGGGCTTTATCAATCACCTAAGCTTTCTCAATGCTCCCTATTTCAGTTTTTGATAGAGACAGTGAGAATTGTAATGACAAATACCTACTTAGAGTCATTAATTTTTGTGATGGGACTATAGCTGTTGCAGTCTTCTTATTGTGTATATTTAGTATCAGTGTTTGATGATGGTAAAATGACATTGAAGATAACTGACTGTACCAGTCCAGAAAACTGAACCTTTCATTCTGGTTTGCTGTGATCCACTGCGATATGCTTCAGCATGCTGCAGATGAAGTGAAAATATGCCAACTAAAGTTACAGTGGTTTGCTTGTCCAGTGGGAGTAACAAAAAAAATGCTAATTGTTACTTTCTCTTGATTGAAAACTATGAATAGCTACTGCTAATTGTTACTTTCTTTCTCTTGATTGAAAACTATGAATAGCTACTTCCCTGAATTATTTTCTTGTTCTTACAGTAGAACATACATGTAGTTGAGAAGGTCTATCTAACGCTTCCAGTGTCGTGTCCTTTGCTTACTGCAGTTGAATGACATGATAACGAACCCAACAGAAGGCCAGTTCTGGCAGGCAGACCACATCAGGCCTGTTTACAGTGGAGGAGGACAGTGCTCCCTGGAAAACCTTCAGACTCTATGTACAGTCTGCCACAGAGAGGTCAGTATGGCGTAGCCAGAAATCCTCACCCTCTTGCACAGAAATGTTGTAGAATGTGCACCAGGGCAGTACTGATCATCACAGAAGTATTTTGGGCAGAGCGAGCCCTAGAGGTAACGGAGCCTGACCCCAGCCCCAGAGCAGGTTGCTGAGGACCATGCTGTGCAGTCCTGCACTGCCTCACCCCAGTCAGGGCCTGCCTGCCCTCAGGGAGAAACATCCCTCCCCAGTGTCCCATGGGAATGCCCCAGGCAGGGCTCTGTGGCAGTGCTGCCTTGTGCCCCAGGGGAGGGCCTGACTCCTGTACCTCCTGCCCCTCCTTTCAGCACCTCCTCAGCCCTGCTGTCTCCAGCTGAACAACCCCGTGGCTCCCAGCCTCTCCAACCCATATGCTGAAGATGAAAGGTACCATTAAACCTTTCATCTTCATCTGAGCTACAACACTTTCCTCAAGATTTGGAAAAATGTCACCTTCAATATTTGCATTTTAGTATGCTGTCTACTGCAAAATTAGACAGAAGTTTAACTGTGGGCTAATGCTTTCCACTGAGCACACTGTTGCCAAGTAACAGTACTTACTGAGCAGACCTATCTTTCTCTTTTGCAGAGAACTGCAAAACAGGCCAAGGAAAGAAGCCAGATGAAGAGACGTTCTTTAGCTACAAAGTACGGCTGTGATATCACAAAATTTTTTGTGAAGATGTAAAATGCAAAATATATTCAGGTACATTGTAACTCAGAAACCAGTATAGTTACACAGTTTTCCTCATGCACTTATTTAAAAAAAAAAATCTTTGTAGTCTACTATGCTGTTGGTAGAAGGAAGAAAATATGGAATTCAAACCAAGAAATCATTTATAATAGTGACTGATTGTCAGAGGGCCTTGGGTGAGTGCATCCAAGGTACTCGTTCATGGTTACATTTTTATGACCCTGTGAGTTAAAGCTGAATTTCTGTGTGTAACCTTAATGCAGCGTAGAAGCATTACTGTTTTCCTATTACAGTGTAGTTAAAGCTGCAAGAATTTGAGGAAGTTCTGTTGAAACTTCCGTTGGTCTTACAGGGTTCAGTTGTATTGGGGACATTATGAACCAAGAAGATATCTTAAATTCTTTGTTCACATAGCAAAATTACTGGAGAAAATAACAGGCTCTGACATCTATTATGACAAAAATAGCATGAGTGTGTTGTCTCTTCTAAGACTGCCTCATACCTACAAAACACATTAATAGCAGCCATGAAAGGGCTGCTTTGGCACTGGGCCTGAAAATCAGGTTTTACTTAAACCAGCTGGTATTTAAAACTTATTCGTGATAGGGAACAGTAAGTATTATCAATGACCTCATCAAAAGTAGTTTCTGGGAAATGCTAGAGTCACATTCTTTCTAACAAGATTGGAGAGATGCTGGTTCTTTTGGACTCTTTATGTGGCTTTATTTACAGTTACTTTAAATAAAAGCATTTCTCTTTTTCCTAGTGATTTTTTTTTAATGCTTTATCTGTCTCTCCCCCACCCCTCGAATGCCATAAGGCAGTACTAAGTTCATAAAGCATGTCTGCACGCTACAGCTCTTTTTTTCTGAAAGTACATGACTGCAATTTCAAGTACATCCAGTTAAAATAAGCTGAAAAGCTTTCTGGGTTATTGTTAAGAGAAAAGTTCTTAAAGTTTTAAACATTCTTTTTCTCAGTTAAAGATTGAGGAGAAGGTAAGTTTTTTGCAAATGCACCATTTTTTACAGAGTGAAACTAACTGGACTTTTCCAAAGACACAAACTTCTTTAGGCTACTACCTGAAAAAAGTGTTACCTGATATTTGTGTTCTCTGAGTATGATTACAGGAATCATCTCTTCAGCAGTTTAAAAGACCAAGTAAGAATACCTGATAATTGTGAGGGATTTTCAAGTTGATACAGCTTTTGATACAAGAGACAGCGTGTCAGGAGAGGAGGAATGCAAGAGTACCAGGAACTATGTCAAAGATTACTTATTGAGTAATTAGCCTAGTGCAATTTAGTTTAAAGAAGCTAAACAACAGCTAAATTGGTCTTTGTCTTTCCTCATCCATTTTACCAGAGGAATTTGCCTCCAGTAAAACACAAACAGCCTGGAGAACAAATTCTGTGACAAGATTTTCTCTGAAGAAAACTAACTCTTCTTTATTCTGAAAAAGGTATTTGTACTCGATACAGTGGGAGAGTTTGTAGGGCACAGGTATTGCCCTAAATCTGAGACAGAACTTAACTTTCTACGTAGTGTAGTCACAGTCACAAACAATGCCGTTTCTACATCAAATCATGCAAGGACGACATTTTAAAAGTATTTTGACAAAACCAGTAGCTGAAGAAATCTGAGAGCCAATAATAATTTCAGATTTATTGAATAATGTCAACAATACTGATGCTGTTTTTACATTTCATTTTATAAAGTAATGCTGATTCCCATTAACACACAAAGATCACTGTAAAGCAACACTGGCACATACACGTCATATTGTTTGTGTGATATCTAGTGGGGTGTTACACAGGTGATAGAATCCTCTCTGTATCAGATCAAGGACGCAGGATGCGTTGAAATGGTCTGTGTAAATACCAGCAAGTTGCTTACAGTGAAACACCTCTGTACATGTCATTACATACAGCTTTGGCCCTTGCATGCAGGGAAGGATATGGAGTATCCAAAACCACAAGTGATCCCCTTAAGGCTATCAGGCTTTCTGTCCAGTTATAGCCCCAATACATGTATTTGTTGGGGAGAAGTGCCTGTGACAAGATCTTTTTGGACAACTGCTGCAATGCTGGGAGAATTTAGTGTGAACTAGAGTGTACTGTATACTTCAAATAAAATGAAAAGTAGTTTAGCGGTATTTGCAACTTAGTAATTAACCAAAAAGTACTGGGCTCAACATGTAAGACTAGCAATAAATACAAATTACTTAATGTTTGCATATCAATTGAAGTACACTAATGTCACTTGATAAAACCTGATTAAGAACTGTAAAGCAGCACATTTGGCATGAATTTCAACATGAAGTATTTGCAATATAGCTCATTCATGTCCATTATTAAATAAGCTAATGTAGAAAAAACAAAACACTCCCTTTGGACAAAGAGGACATTGCTAAACTTTCTTCCCCAAAGGTCTAATTAAAACTACCTGCGAAGCCATCCCACACCTCCAAGCTAGACTTGCAACAGGCATCCTTCTCTGCTGCCAATTCAGCTCCGTCCTTGGGAATACTCACACTCCGTCACTAATGACAACTGTATTTTCTCCTCACCACACACCACAGTCAATATCTAAGTGTTAACTTCCCCCAAGGAAAATGAATAGCATCCTACTTGTGAAGACACACAAGGTAACGCAGCTGGTTACATCAGAAGAACGTTGTATCTGCTGAAAAGGCACCTGCAAGTCGAAAATCTTCCTTCGTCAGCACGCTGTACATGCGCTGGGGCAATGGCTTGGAGTAAGGTGCGGGGCGGGGGACGGTTGTGCGCAAAATCACCTCACGACCCGTGGGCGGTGGGAAATCTGAAACAGCCCCCACGTTGAGTCTTCTCTCCTCTGATGAACCTGATCTCCTCAGTTCTTCATCAATTGGAGGTGCTGCAGAAACCTTAAATAAGAGCAGAGGTATGGTTACAGGGCAAGCTGTGCCTTATAAAATGTTTAATGTTTAAGAGGAACAGAGGAAGATTAGAAATGGCAAACACATCTAAAGGCCTTATGTGTACACAGAGCAAGACACTAATGGGATGTTGAGAAATAAACTGCACACAATCAAATGGAAGAACCTTCACGTGTGGATGGTGAAGCTCAGCCTAGATTAAGCTCCTAACTTTTTCGGCAGTGTGAAGCAAGGGTCTTGACCAGACAAAAAGCCCCCCTCTCAAGCAGGGCTCCCTCCTCAGCTCTCTGTGGCTACACCAGGCCAAGCCACCCTCCTTTTAAAAATAATCAGTGCCACTACTGGAGTCTTGGCAAATAGTCACCTGCCTTTTGAGACTCAAAATACCACTTCAATAAATACCTCCTTTTCACGGTCAGAGGGAAGCTTGCCAAAATTACATTGCAGAGCAAGTGAGATGCTGTGCAGTCTCCACCAATGATCATTGCCCCGGAGCCAGTAATCAGCAACACTGAAGTCTGAATACTGGAAGAAGGGCTGGCATGCTCCAGTTAGCCCAATTACATATATATATATACACACACACATCCCAATACCCTATAGCGTCCTAATTCAAGTGTATACAGCTCAAGGTTATCAGTGTCACTGAGGCATGGCAGAACCCCCCAGATGCCCCCTCTCAGCTGCCCCGCTGCACCTCTCCTCCCAGCCCTCTCCCTCACATGCTCCCCAGGAGCGGGGCCAGGTACTGGTCGCCTCTGCAGCCTGTGCCATAGAAGTCACCAGGGACAAACGCCCCTTGTTCCTACCAGAACAGTGCTAGGAAACCAACAGAGAGGATGTTCCCTGTGCTGTGTTTCTTCATGCAGTTAACCTAGCTCTTCCCGAAACCTCTCTGTATCTCTGTCCAAAAGGTTCAGTTGTGTCAGTAAGTACTGGTATCTTGGATTGGGATGTTCAGGTACTGTCCATCTCCACCTAACCCCCGAAACATCTGGCTGCTCAATAAACAAAACACAGTGAAGAATACAAAGGCAAGGCCACATATTTCAGCATCAGGAAATGTTAATATTCGCTTGAAGAAATGTTTTTTGTTTGGTTTGGGTTTTGTTGTGTTGGGGTTTTGTTTGGTTTGGGTTTTTTTTAAGATTTCTCTCTCTTTTCACTACCTGCTACGCTCCAAAAGTAAAGTTTGTGAATGAGGAAAAACCATTCTGGAAACACAAAATTATTTTTATGGTCAGTATGTGAACGACAGTACAAACTAAATCAGGCTGCTGTACTATATCTGCCAAAAGGTTCAACTCTATGCAGCTAGGGAAGATGAGTGGGAAACGAGGGACAAAGTTGGTTACCTCATCAGAAGATTCAGTCAGCTTGGAAAAGGATGAGAAAAGAACCAGTGATGAAAGATAGAAACAAAGGCAAGTCAGAGGTGACTTACAAGAGGTTAGGAGGAGATTGTAGGTTTAAGAGACATCATGCACTCTACTTCCAAGAGCATGCATTTGCTATCGTAATTTTCCTGAGAAAACTTGAGAATATAACAACACATTTTACACAACTCAGGAGTCCAGGTTCAAAAGGTAATGAACAAGGAAGTCATTCAACTTCTATGTACCAAACGGCTCTCCTACTGAAATAATTCATGGTAGATTAAACACAAAGGGGGGTTTGGTAGCAACTTAGCTCCTGTCCCACTGAGAAGTCTTAATTAACAGTGATCAACTTGCAGTTACTGATGTTTCAAAAGAAACAAACCCTTAGAAATTTACATGTATATTTATCGAACATTAACGCTAGAAGCTCTTACTCAGCTTTAAAAACATAATGCCTCAATATTAAAAAGGCAAGTGCATATGCTCGCATGCACTCACAGGGCACAATCTTGGGCTTTACAGGGAAGCCTGTAAGTAAGGCTGGTTGACAAGTTGAGATTTGCAACCAGATTTTCCCTCGAGACTAGAAGAATAAAATAAATGTTCTGATTTTCATTTCTCAGAATAACCATGGTCTGTTTTCAGAATGGTCCTTTTTATGTTGAGTTGCAAAATACAGATTATTATAAAATCATCCACACCTTAAAAGTGTTTAATTCCTAATCACGAAAATTTTACAGCAGTGATTTCCAAACACGATTTCAGGCTCTAAGATGTCTGCAATATTATGCTACCTCATTATTACCACTGTGGTTAAATTTTAGTTAATTTGATGCTATGAATAGGTGTAATTCTGACAGAAACTGAAGGCTGACTGCAGTCCAAGAAGTTTGGAAATCGATACTTTAAGGCTAATTATTACAAAGACTGCTTAAGAGAAAAAGGGAGTATTTATACTAATATAGCCTGGGGAAGGGTTTCCAGAAAACAGATGGAACACTGGCAATAAGCAAACTGAATGTAGAGTTGTACTGGAAAGGAAATGAAACTCTTCCTAAGCACAACAGTTTCCATAGAAAAAAAATCTCAAGTACTCCAAGTATAAGCCTCAGTCTAAAAAGTTACTCCTAAATTATTTAATATGATGATGTTTCTCTACATTGCTATGTGAAACAACACACTTGATTGTTCTTGCTGTAATGCTGCATAGATCGTGTAACTTGAATGACGCAGAAATTTGTGCCATAACAGCATTACTGATGTCACCATTTGAAGTAAATCATGCGTTAATGACACCTCTATCTACCCAGATGGCTTTAATTGTTTCACATCCCGGGTCACCTACTCTGCTTTTGCCTTGCAAGGTTCTGTTATTGCCAAAATCATGTTGAACATCACAAAAAAACCTCAAGCACATTTATGACAATACATGCATATATGCGGACAAAATAAACTGGCATCATGTGATAAGTTGTTGCCTTATACTGCTTAAATTAGAAGTGTCTGCAAAGCAATCAAGAACTCTTTCTTACCCTCTGAGCATTCACGAACAGCTTGTGAATAATGCTACCAGCAGGTCCTCTTCCTGCACCAATAACTGACACTTCTGGCTGCTCCAGGAGACAGTTCACAAATCTGGTGGTACAAAATATTGAAAAGGAAAAAGGAACGTTTCATTCTCAGCTGTATCCAGTTTGCTAACCTAAAACCAGAATTGCTTCCTGTGAGGTCTCCACCTAGCATCATTTCCACAGAGCAAGAACTGGCAGACACTAAAAGTTCAAGGAAAAAAAACCCGGCACTTCCCAGCATCCCACTCAAACACTATCATCACCTTTTCATCCCTTTACTCCTTCCCCTCTACCCTAAAGACTAAACCTCCCTTAGCCTTCAGTTGTTCCCTCCTCCCTTGTTGCTCTTTCTTTCATGCTAATACAAGCGGCCATTCTTCCACAAATAACATAGGTCAAAACTAAGCTCAACACCGCAGCCTCCCACGTAAGGTCAGGAAAGGCAGGATTGTATGGCCCTTTGCATCCCAACTCCAGCAGCAGGGCCAATTAACACCTAGGTTGCAATTCAGCCTCTGAAAGCACCTACTTCTCTCAGTTAACTATAAATGGAACCCAGGCTCCTAATGCGGATGTATAAATTCAACATGAAAAGCGTTCACGGTGTCAGCCACACTGTAACAACATGGCAATTTTTCTGAGCACAACGATACTGCATTGGTCAGACATCGCTCCTCCAAACTCCCAACATGTGCTACTAAACCATCTCTCCCTCTCAGCATGGCAGCAAGAAGTAAATAATCCGACACAGCAGGTAGTGAAGCAACAAAACATGGCTTGTTGCTTTTCATTCATATGGTTCTGTGGTAATGTGTTTCAAAATAGTAAGGAGACTAGAACAAGAAAATGTAACTTGGGGAGGGTATTTCATTTCATGTTAGTTACAGAAAACACTGAATTCCTAGTCCTTCTAATTTTACCTCTACTGTCACAAATTTCATCAAATGTACCTTTTACATAAACAAAAAAATAAATGAAGTCCCCAGTGCTGTCAAGATAAAACCACAACTCCGTTAAAACAATCTGCATCGCATGTTTTCAAAGAGATGGTTACACAGAGAACCATTTAGGGTGCCCACATACAACATCTCTAGGCAGCCTAGGGACCGGGATACCTTTTTAGTAGCTCTAAACATTAGGATTCCTTAGTATTTCTGTATTATCATCGCTTCCATCTGTCCTAAATTTTGAAACTACAAAAAAGGGCATCAGAGGGAAAAAAAACCACACAGAGGGGGAACAAAAAAGGAAAAAAAAAAAAAATCAGTCACCTTTGTAGATCTTCTTTCTCCTCCTCATTTTCACATTTCTCAACCCCAAATTTTGCTTTCAGAGACCTGGCCCTGGCAATGATAGCTTCCACGCTCATAATCTGAGCAATGATTTCCTGCAGGAGTTTAATAAAAATAAAGAGTGTAAAACCCATGAAGAGTGTAAAAGTCTACTAAGTCTTAAGTTCTTTAAGCCAATATAGAAGCCTTACTTCCAACTTCTTGTCCTCTGGATTGGGGAACCGTAGAACTTTACTGGAATGGGATATTATCTGCTTAATAATCTTCTTGACTGAAGATATATCTTCTAGTGCTTCTATTAGGAGGAAAAGAAATTAAGAAGTTGTAATTATTGCATTGGTGTTCACCTTAAAATATCTTAATAATTTATTAAACATTATTTACCTTCTTCCTTTACCTTGAGTACAGCTGCATGGATGATGCAAGGCAAGAGATGCCTTGCAAGGTCAGCTGGTTTCTGAACTGCAAGGTAATGAAGCACCTACAACAATAGAAAATTCAATATATTAGTGATCAAAACTGCTTCCCAAAGATAAGGTTAACTACAAAAGATGAGCACCCACACTGAAGAATTCACAAGAAGGGAGCACTGTTCTAAGACAGGACTCAATAGGTAGTTTTACATAAATCCTCAGTGATTGCTTACAGTCCCAACAGGTTAGAATGAAACTAAAAATAATTCTGTTTTTTAAAAATAATTAGTTTCCTAACATATACATGCAGGTAAAAATCTGGTTTATTTACTAATAATTCAAAGTACCACCTAAACATTACAGCTTGTGAAATTCCACACACTAATTACTTTAGATACTTCAAATACACCATTGTACAGCAGCAAGAATTTCTGATTAACCCTAAGCCACGTACAAAACAGTTTAATAACTCCAAGAATATAGTGCAAGGACATGTTAGAGTTCAAATCTTCCAGGAGGAAGAAGAAAGGGCTGCTATAAGCATTACAGATCAGACTATCAGTAGCCACAGAGCTTTTTACCTTCTCTGCCTCTCTAGTGTCATCGAAGAGTCTCTTCTGCCTCCGGGCTGGGACTGGTTTTGCTGTCTCCCAGGCCTCTACCCACATGTTGCTAGGAATCTTCATTCGGGCACTCAGCTCGCCCTTAATTACTACATTCCCCTTTTCATCGACCACTTCCTCTTCGATGTAATCCCGAGGGGAGTACCACCTCACAAAATCCTCCAGGCAACAGCCAGGATTAGCTGCCTGGAATGAAGAGGAGATAAAATTTGTACCTGAAAAATCCTATAAAAACATAATAACCTGGGTAGGAAGGCAAGGTGGTTTTAGTGGGTACAGCATAGGCTAGGAGCCAAAACTCAGGGAATTCTGTGCACAGTCACCAAACTGTAAACTAGGAAAGAGACCTGGGAAGGTGAGGCAATAAAGCATAAACCAAAACAATGGCAAGGGGTAAAACCCACAGCATCAACAAATACAAAGAAACCGTTGTCTTATCACCCACAACAGTACATTTGTCAGTTATTTCAAGCAAGCTCAAAATTGTGCTGTTAAGTCAAGCTTCTGTCTGGGACCTGATACATGCAATAAATACGAGTTTTCATTAATTTTATTATCTATAAGCTTATACCATTAAAGACTTAGATGAAAAACAGTCCAAGCCTAACAGAATCACTGGGCTGCATGCATACGCTTTCAGCACTGACTTTCCACCTTTTAAAACTCCAGTAACAAAATTCGCCTTTTCTTCTTCCTTTAAAAAGGAACTGAAAAAAACCCAAACATCTCCCCCAAACAAAAAAATCCTTCATTTTTCATAGATGCAATGTCAACACAAATAAATACATCCATAGGTCTAGAACATAAAAGGAAACCCAGTTTTGTATTCAATGCACCTATTGAGAGTGCACTTCTGCTTCAAATTACAGTGCTATATTCTGAGTTTTTAGATCACTTGCACCATAGAAATAAAACTGCCACATACATCTAATATAACATGAATCACTGCTAATAAAGTGATATTGACATTAGAAATACTCTTACTCCACAGTACACCTGTATCCTTTTACTACAAAGTAACATTGCAATAATTAAAAAAAAAAAAGCTATTTCATGACAGAATCTTTAATCTTTTTAGAGTTTTGAGATCCTTTGATGACAGCTCCCTCTTACTCCCTCTGCAGAGCTCAGAAAAGAAATGAAACAAATTACCCAAACCCACAGCTAGTCCAGTCCCAATGTGATGAAAAGCTGCATAGGACTTCTAAGTGGTGATAAACTTATCCTTCCTACTAAAGAACACATCATCTACTGTTCATAAAAATTACGTCCATCTCCCCAAAGTATAAATACAGAATGGTGAGCGTGTTAATAGTTTAATTTTTTTCTTTACACCACCTTTACATTTTATGTGTTTGGAGTCTGATTAAAGGTGCATTTTACAAAGCTAGACAGAGTGGAAAGTTCACATAAGAGAGACACTAGATGAAAGCTACATGGTGGTGGGAGGGAGGGGGAAGACATGTAATTTTTATCCAGGACTTTGATGCTCAGTTTTCTTCTGTCATCATTTTATGTGGGCTTGTCCGAGTTTTAATTCCCAATTTATCAACTGTATGTTTTGGGAAAGGGGTGGGGGGAGGGTGTTGTTTCCCTCCCACAGGCATTGTACAAATTTTCTGGAACATTACAGCATAATAGACTAGATAGTCACAGATTTTGAAACATTCTAAGAGTTTTATCAATAGGGTTTTTTCACTATTTTGAAACTGGTTTGTGGAGGAAAAAAAAACCAAACCACCTCATCAGAAAAACCTTCAAAATTGTTCAACACAAGCAAGGATAGTTAATTAAGAAGAAAGCAGTTTGACAGAATTCTTCAAGTAGTACTACCTTAAAAGACTCCATATCTGAGAGCAAGCAGGCACTCTGCATGCGTGCCCGAAGATGAGCACCTTCTGCTGACGTCCCGAGTTTTGCCAGGACCTCGGACTGTTCTTCCAGCAAATCTTCAGTCATGGGTGCTGGTTCCTGCAATATGGGAAAAGACAAGTTTAGAAATAGCCGCTCCTCGACTTAGCCCTTAAGGAAGGAGGAGTGGAAAGCTCCCTGTCACCAAAGTTCATTCTACTTTATTTATACTTAACGGAAATAAATATAAGTTACTACTGCTTAAACTGTTTACCCTAAAGCTGTGCATCAGAAGACACTAACAAAAAAAAAATAAAAAAGAAAACAACCTGAGAATGAAGTAACAATATAAGGATATATTGTTAAAATGCCAAAATCCAGATAAAGTCCTAGAAGTGTTTGGCTGATACTGTTCTGTTGAGACAGATGAAAATCCACCTAAAGCAATGTAGAATTTTTGCCATCGATACTGTCAGCACATAATTGACAACATTTTGCCTGACTATACTCTGCGCAGAACTTCTACCCACACAAAGCAACATCCATTAAAAATTTCTCTCACGTCAATGAAAAATACTGTATTCTTCACACGTGGCTGATTTCCAACTACTTCCTATTTCATCCCTAGTCACGCTGCAAGAAAGTCTGTGTCAGATAACATTTCTAGTAGTTTGATGATAAACCTGCTTTAGATAATGGTACCAAAACCTGATGACTATGGTCTTTTATCAGTTGAGAGTTATTTTTTAAAAGAAAAAAAAAAAAAAAGGAAAAAAGTAGCAGCAAAACTGATCCAGTACTCTGGACAGTCAGCTAGAAATCTTCATGGTGGAAGGACCATGGCAGTTCCTACTTTACAGGAAGGAAGGAAGAAAAGAAGCGGATGGAACATGCCTCAAGAGCTGGAAATAAAAAGAAACCCAAATTTAAGATAGGCAAGACAGCTTAATTCTTGTTTAAAACCAATTTGTTTCTAGTGAAATTTGGTAAGGAGACCCATTCTCAAATATAACAAAGAGCATGTGACATGTCAGTTTAACAGCCTCATCAGGTTTTAAAAATGGAATACAAGGTCTTAGGCCAAAAAAACTTAGCAATTTTAACAACAGGTCAGGCTATAACCTGCAAACTATGTGCAATTTCACAATCCCAGGTACAAGCCATATTGCCTGAGAGTTGTATTGTACATCTGGCTCAGCTCTTGCTACCTAACCTGTGTTATTGGAATGTAGAGAGGCTCTCCTGGATGCAGCAGCGTCAGCTTTCCGTGCGGGTGCAGACGACCTTCTGGTTTTAAGTTTACAGGCTCTTTGTTGCCTTCTTTTGCTCCTCCTTTCTTTCCATTTTCCTGCCCATTTCCTTTAAGATCTTCTGTATCACTCAGACATTCAAAAAACTCCTCTTCGCTGTCACTCCACGATTCCCAAGACTTGCCAACTTCTTTTTCCTTATCAGGGTTCTCTCCAGAGTGGTCTGCTCCTTTTCCAGTATCACCAGGTGAACGATCAGACATGGTCCCCCTTTTCCCCTCATCTCTTGCTTTCTTTCTTTCTATGCAACAATTTAACATCTAACAAGTTAAAGGAAAAAAAATGTTTAGCAATTACTTCTCTTATGGAAACAATGTCGCAGAAAAACTTGGAGAGTCACCAAAAATCTTTTATAATTCTAAAAGATAATAATTCCTTTGAACTTGTTGCTATAACAAAGCTTTTTTCCCAAAAAATGAAGTCCATACCCAATAATACAAGCATAACTAAATCTACAAAAACAATATATTTAGCTAATAATTGCTGTAATTTTGACAGTTGCCTTAGGAGAAAAATCATTCTTAAGTTTGGGATATTTACCTGAAGTTTCTGATGCAGTAAACAGCATCTCAGATCTGGAGGGCCATTAGCTAATCTAACAAAAGGTAGAAGTGTAACCATTATCAATTATAAAGTTGAATCTTTCACACACATATGGTCTTAAATCATATGAAATCCAAAATAGGGGCAAATATCCACATTGAACCCACCCCCACCATTTCAGCTATGCAGCTCTTCTATGGTCTCAGAAGACAAGCTAGTGACTGAACAAGCCCTGAAGTTAAACTACATTTATTTCCTAGAGGTCATTTCTGAAACTCAGAGATCATTCCCACTAATACAAAACACACTGCATTTCCTGGTCAGTTTTCCATTTGGATGTTAAAAGGGTAGCTGATTTCAAACAAAACTTAAGCACTTTTGACTTTACTTTGAAAACTGCAGTGATACAGTAGATTGATCTCTATATATTTCAAGCTCCATTTTATTTGTTAGCGTAACCATTTGAAAGTACAAACTAGTAAATAAGTGGCCAGTTCATCCCATTTAAAAAAAAAAAAAAAAGTATGTATTTTTGCTCTACATTGGTATCTCCTCTTGACAGAACCCTTCATTTGGTCTGCAACAAGCTCTGCTGCAGCAAGCATCACCTAGAAGGGTTGGAATACTTGAGACAGCATTAGCTGCCTGAAAAGGCTGCTACACCATCAGGAACTTGGAACAGCTCCCTTAGAAAAGTGGCGAAACGACACTACAAAGCAAAGGTGTCTCTCACTGTATCAGCTCCTTCATTTTCATCTAATGATAAACTGGAAGCCAAGCATTCACATAAGCTTCCCTCCTGTCCCCATTCACAAAATGGAGTGCTCTTTAACTTGAGCTGCCTCCAGACATCTTGAAGTTTTCAAAGGATGGCACAGTCACTTTTCTCTACTGCCTATCCTTTCTTGCTTTAAGGAAGTAGGTTAACAGAGGACAGCATTTGCAATTTAAAAAAAACAAACCGAAACAGTATGTTTCAAAGCCATAGTGAACTCACACTATTCCTGAAACAAAGAACATTTTCTATGACAAAGCAACATAAAAGAAAAAATCTTACCCTGGAATAAGGTAGTTGTTCTCCCATCTGTAGCGCATTTCTAACACAAATTCTTGCCAAAGATGTGCCACTCCTTTTACTCCTCCATGGTAGAAGTTTATCATACAAAGACATAAAGCTAGTTTGTACGTCAGACTATCAGAAGGAGCAGATTTAAACTGACTGAAGAGATTCTATGTAAGAAATAAAAGAAAGCAGGTAATACAGGAACAGTGTCATTTTTTCCAGAACTACACGATCTCTTTCCTGTTTGATAATACAAGTGGCTAAATAACATTTTAAGCCCATAAGTATAAGCTACAAAAAATTACAGTCTTTGAAAGAAAGAAAAAAAAACAAACAGAAAAAGCCAACCCCAAAACAAAACAAAAACCCCCAAAATAATCACTATTTCTACCTGGAGATTCGACTAAGCTAACTTCATCTTGCCAAAAAATGATCTATTACAAGACATAGGGCAACCACAGTAAAGTCCGTATGAACACACGCTCAAAATTGCTTTCTCTCTCTCATGAGTGTCAGTCAAACTTACATAATCTTCATTCTCTGGAGGAGGATTGTTTCCTTCTGAAGTGCTAGTTCTGCTTTCGAATCCATCTGCGAGTTTGTCAGCAGCATCAGGAAATAAGAACTTCAAGGAAAAAAAAAAAAAAACCACAACAAATTCCAAACTTGCATCAGTATCTTTTTTTCTGCTTTCCCCACATTCTCCATAAAGCTCCTGCTGGTTACATACCAGCAATCCCTATAATTAAAAATGTTAGCAGAGTTCAGAGTTCATTTTCAGTCTACTTACATTGTAGAGACTTGTAACAGCTTAGGCTGTTTCAAAAAGCTGATAAACACAATATTAATAATGGAACTGACATCAGAGACATATATTTATAATTCTGCCATAAACTATAAATCAAATGCATCAGTGGAAGCATGAAATACATGTTTTATATTAATGTGCCTGGACAGCTCGCTTACCAGAAGAATAGTGTTCAGAACTTCATTGTTTAAAGGTGATTCATCTACACCTCTGTGTTTGCGAATTTTTTTCTTTGCACTGTGAACCATATTTGTGACTGATAATTTATGAATTGGGACTGGTGCTGGCTCTGTGAGCTTTGACAAAGCATGGGTAATATCAGCAACCTCTATAAAATAAAATAAAATTAATTAGAACAAACAAAAAAAACCCTGCAAGACCATCTCTCTTTAAAAAGTTCACCTGTCATATTCGATCTATTTACTTTGTATTGATATTAACACCCTGTTAACCAAAGCCACACCCCTGTGCTGTCAGGTACCATACCTGACATTTGGTGTTCTTAGCCACAAAGGTAAGCAGTAGAATGAAGTCACAAAGGAGTCTCAGACTGTCCTTGATTTAATTTACTGAGGTCTAGACTGAGTTGGCTGTAGATAGTGCCTGCCACCTACTGTAGTAGTACTGCATACCTGCACACAATTACAGCCAGCAAAAGGCTGCTGACTGGCCAGCGTTTAAGCTTTGTTTATATGCAAAACCAAGACATACACTGTAGATAACAAAGACTGTTCAAGCATATGCTAGAGCTTTAGACAAGCCTTAAATAAATCCAGTTTTAATCACTACATGTACAACCTTACATGGTGTAAGCACTATTTGGTTTTAGAGTCCTCAGGTAAACTCCTCAAATCAAAAGATTTTTTCCAAAGTTGTTGCTGGTAAACTTTAGAACCTCTCTTACAATACAACTAATTAACATTGTTAAAAAGAGGGCAGACAAATTTAAGTGAATAATTACCAGCAGCCTGGAAAACCTCACCTTTGCAAACATTTCAAGAAAATCAGAGATAAGGAGGGCTAACGAGACCGTATGTTAAGCACTGAGAGTAATACATACCCTACCCAGTCTAACACCTTTTCCAGCTAACTAGGGAGCACCTTCAAAACTAAGTATAACAAAAGAAACTACATTGATACAGGCCATATTTGCAGGGAAGAACAGGCAACAAGAGGCAGGAAAGAAGGGAATGTTCACCACATACAGTAAAAAAAGTGAAAGGGACAGAAACATCAAAAAGATGTCAATATTTATACTCTTGGGATAAAGTCTGACCTGTTGGTCAGATAATTTTGTTTCATTGGTTTTGTTTGGTGGCTTTTAGTCTGGATTTAGTTTTGATTTGGGTTTTTTGAGGATGACAGCAACACCTCTCAAACAGATTAAAGATTCTTTAAACTGGCTGTTAAAACATGCACTACATAGTACTTCAAAAAGCAAAACAAGTGGAAAAAATACATTAAAAAATGCAGACAAATCTGTTTAATGTTTGCTCAAAACCAACTCTTGTACACACTAGTCAAAACTCTTGTTTTCCAGTAAAAAAACAAAACAAACCCACAACTCTAACACAGGTAGTTGTCCTCTAGGACTTCGGGAGCTAAGCTTGCCTAGAATTCTTGAGAAATTGTACCACGTAGCACTGGCCAGAAAATTCCTAGCAGTATTACAGAAAATGCCTAACAATTAAAATCAAGTAACACAAATCATCAAGATTTTAGTTTGACCTTTTCCTTCCTCTTCAAATGCAGACCTTCCAAGTATCTCATCAGTTGACTCCTTCCGACGGCAAAGCTTGAAGAATTCAGTAAGAAAGTCACCTAGAAGGGAAACAAAGTTTCTGAACAACTACTCAATTAAAATCTCATTGAACAATAAGCTAACCCTCAAAGTGATTCCTCAGGGACAGTAAAGTTTATCTTTTCATCTGAAAGAACATAATAATTTGTTCTGAAGTATAAATAACTTTAAACCACATTATTAAAGCTTAGGAAAACTTACATCTAGACAGCTATCAGCCACCTTTCCAGAGCACAGTTCTGCATGCAGTTTAATCCACTTCTTCACTCAAAGCAAGCTGAAACTTCTGCAGAATACTATTTTTTTTGTTATTATTTTTATTTTTTAGTTTTGAAGCCTGTTTCCTCACAAGCTAAAAGAAAAAGACGGACAACAGGACAATTCTCCAGGCATACCAATCCTGCCTGTCAGACAGATCAATTCAACTAAGGAAATGGATATATGCAGAAGGCGCTTAAAATTTAAAGGTGCTAGGACATCCAAATTTGCACAGAACGCACACACACAAAGTGCCTATTCTCTGGAACCTGGTGAAGTAGGAACAGCAATGAAGCGCACAGATGGAGAATAACCTCCAACAGAAACTCATGTGTTTGCAAAGCTTGTGTTCTTGAAAAAGACAACCAAAATATTGTCCACTCAAAAAAAAATAAGGGGAGTGAGGAAATGGAGGTCATCAGGTCATCAACAATTCAATCCAACTTCACAATTTAATAGCTTAAAAGCCATAAGAGAAGATCAGGAATTCTGATGTCTTACCTAACAGACACTGAGGGTTATCTGCTTTTCTGACTCTCACAGACCACTGGGGTGCTTGAAGAGGATCCAGATCACTTTAGAAAAAAAAAAAAAAGTGTCATGCTGTCACTGTAAGTACTCAGGAGATGAGTATCAAATTCTCAATAAATGGAATGTCATAGCCAGTTAGGCCATGGAAGCCATGACATATACCAAATTACATAGGAGAACATAGCAAACATTCTAAAACACAAGCAAGAGTCCCTGATCTCATGTACATACATAACCCGAATAACAAACACATAAAGAACAATTCAGTTCAACTAAATTTTCTTCTTTTAAAGTTGAAACTAATTTGTGTAGTAATTAAAACAGTAAACCACTTCTGGGTTTTTGAGTTTTCTTTTTTTTTTTTTTTTTCTTTTCTTTCTTAAGTATCAGTATACACTGTTCTTGCTCTTTAGGACGCTTACCAGAAAACCTGGATGATAGTCTTTGGGAGAGGGATGTCACTCAGTTAATTCTTTTTGCTTGCCATGTTCCAGTATCATCTTTCCCAAGAAATACGCAATACACAAAACTTTTAAGCCTAGCATGAGTATATGCCCCAAAATGGAGATATGTTCTGTTGACATTACGACACAATAATACTTTCTCACACAGAAATGCATTTCAAAAGAAGGTGTTTTCCCAAATGAGATGTTCTATCAGCTGACCTTAGCATTCCTCAAAATGGGCTGACACAGCCACACACAGTATTTTAGATGTCACTAAAATGCAGTAGTTAACAAATAAAGTACACTACTAGATATTTGCAATTCAGACAAAATACTTACGAATAAACATCATTGTCAACAATTATACCTTCTGTTAGGTGAGGCCATGTGGTAGCTAAATGAAGCTCGCTGAAACAAAACAAGATTTAAATCTTTCAGTGCTACTAGAAAGTGTTCTCTCCATCATAGTTAAGATCTTGAAAGGTATTTGTGATAGTTCATGTTTAAGTCCCTCTATGTATTTTGCAACTATATCCAGAAATGTGCATTAAAAAATATTAAAATGGTTCCTAGATTTGCTGAGTGTTGATGGGTTGTTCAGAAGAGAACATCGAGATTGTAATAATTCGGTTTACAGACCCTCTCAATTTAAGTCTCATTTCTACAAATGCCAAAGTAAAAGATGAGAGCGAGTCCAACCTTTGAATGAAGGCACGCTGTTTTTAAATTTTATCTCCAATTAAGGTATATTTCAACACAATAGTTTCAGAGATAAATGGAGTACTCTAGAAGTTTATGGCGAAAGATTTATGAGCTAGAACTCTCCATATCATTAGACAATTTTGCAAATGGTCTCATTTGCTACTAGACCATTACTTTTCACAGATGTTTCTTATGTACTTGAATAATTAAATACCTGTTAGGGACATAACAAGTGATAGGCAGGCAAAGCTAAGATTTGAAATAACATACCTTTAAGTCTGCCATTAGGGAAGTTATAAAACAGAGTTTTCTGAACTCTTATCTTACCTAATAGGATCCTCACAGGCACCAAATGGTAACTTCCCAAATTCGAGGCCTCCAACTTCTCCCCCAACTAGAGCATCTATATCTGAAGACAGATCAATACATTTTCCATACAGAATTTATGGACTATTTTAACAAGCATATCATCTTAATTTCACAGTAAAAAGACTATAGCGTGTAGGATGACCAGACAATAGCTGAACAGCTAAGGTGACAGAGCTATGAAAATGCTGTCCTAGCAGACAAAGTAATTGTTTCCAGCAGAAACTGGGAAGTGATCATGCAAAAGGACATTCAAAAAGACAAATAAAATTCTTGCAATTCATGTTGAGGGAAGGTTATTCCCTTCATACAGGCAAAGATGATAGCTATAAAGGCAGCCTTAAGGAGTCACTGTTGACACAAGAACAAATAGACACAGATTTGCCACAAAAATATTTAGGTAGGAAATCAGTTCCAAGCAGAAAAGGAAGACTCCAGAAGAGCAACTCTGCAGAGTGAAAAAACCAACTATTTTTAAAAGGTTGACAATTTTATGAAGAGTGCTATGTTATGGCTCCTACAGTTAAAGACTTAAACCAATGATCTGGGAGATTCCTTGTAATCCCAGGTACTTACAGATGCCTGCCAGCATGCTCAGCCACCTCCCATGTTATATCCTTCAAATATATAAGCCAAAAATAGACAGTCTTCACCGAACAAAAATTTAAATGGGTAATGATATATTGTAATGCCATTATAGTAATGCTATTACAGCATCTGATCCTTAACTTTAAATGCATCTGGCAAACCGCTTACAAACAAAACAAGCAAGGTATTAGAACAGGTAAAATATTTGGATAACTTCATTACAATATCTTCTCTGAAGAAGAAATTAACAACACATTTAAATTCTTTCATTTTATTTGAGAAGTGAGGGCCTAGTTCTTCACAATGAACGTAAAACCACAACTGCATGTAGCAACAGCAGTAAATTGCTGTTTCTGCAATACACTATGCCACTAGCTCCCTTAACTAGAATCCTCCAAAAGAGTAAAATTTGAATCGCTCAAATCAAGAGATATGATCAGAGTAGTATATAACTATAGCAAGGCAGAGAGAGACTGTAGAAAACATTGACTTCTATGTCTGCAGAAATAATAAAAAATAAAATTTGTAGAACTAGCTTCCCAAGTTCTTTAGGTAAACTTGGTTTACCTACAAAGAGAAACTATCACTTAAAACAGCACTCATTTTCCCTGACCCTAAAGAGCAGGATTCTCTTTAAACATTTTTCAACACTCCTTTGGTACAAAGCACACAGGATCAACTTCACTACAGACTTCTTCAAAACATTCCTTTCATTGGTATTGGTACTTTTTTTTTTAAAGCAAAGCAAAGTGAAACAATTAGGTAACCAGACTAAGGTCACACAGGTTCTGTGTCTCTAAGTGTGCCCTAAATACTTTAGCCTTGTTATGTAAAACTACTACTAAGTCAAGAATATAACTTGGAGCATTTTAATTGCTCCACCACCTTGTGCCTAAAATATCACATCACTAATAAAGAAGGAACTAATATCTACCTTTGTCCTATAGATTTGTTTACCTTTGAGCCAAGAGAAGTTTATAATTTATTTTCTGATGCTACCTATATAGAAATAGGTCTGTTAAAACAAATCCTTGATACCTAAGGAAGAATGTGTTACCACCAAGCAAGCATGAGAGTTCACTGTGAGAGTACCAAGTGAGTAAACTCACTCTGTTTTTCCTAAATAGCATCACTATGGCATAAACTTATTGAGTCTGGTGTATGTACTTTAGATTCAAGACTATACATTACTTTTCACCTTTCTCCTCCTCATACAAGACTACTATAATAAAAGGCTTGATCAGAATTTTTTCCTGCATTGAAAAAAAATAATCAAAATCAACTTCTTGGCTTATTTAGCACTGTGTAAACAACAACAAACCCACAAACTTTTACCTAAGTGATGTACATATAATATTTTCTCCTTTTCCCACTGTTAATACACTTAAATAGCAAAGTATTAGAATCAGTTACTTTATGGAAATAATTGACAAATACTCCTGTGAAGTATTAGCACCTACTAGAATCTGTATCCAAATGTTTCCCTAAGGAATTCAGGGCAGAACTCTTTACAGATCCACAGTCAGTCGCCCTTTTCTCTCCAAAATAGATACTACCACCTTAGCAGTATCACTAAATCTCTAAATGCTAATAAAAAAAGCATATTTCTACACACAGCCCTAACCAAAACACCTGTCACAACCATAAGACACAGACATGATTTCAGAGCAGTTTTCAGTTTGCTAGCCTATCATAGGGAGTGGGATGGTATTCAGGTTGTAACTGAAGCCTTTCCTAGTAATGCAGAAAACATTTTAATTCTTCAGGCAAGACACACAAACATTTTCTTTAGCGTCAACTGTTTATCTTAAAACAAGTTATTCTGATGACACAAGTCTCCTACCTGGTGGCTGCTGCGGCCAGAAATACTGCTGCCAGTCTTGAAGCACATATGTAAGTCGAATAGCCATGCTAACCGGAGGCAGTGGTGTTAAAGGGCATCCCTTGAAAATATTAGAGAAAAAATTCAATGTAAAGAGTATATCCTCTCAAACACCTCAGGCCTTGAACATAAATTAGTTTTGACAGCTTGTATTAGAGCTAATTTTATCAGAACTGCAACACCCCAAGTATTACTAGTAAAGCTATATAATAAAAATATATATAATAAAAACCCACCCCAAACCTCTCCTCCCCTCTTAAACAGCAAAATAGAGTTTGTTTTGGGGAGGGTGAAGAGAGGGTTGGTATGAGGAGATTGTAAAACAGACACATTCTTTCACGCACCAGTGGTAAATAAAAATGGAAGAAGGTGGCAACACTGAGGAACAAAACCCATACCAATTTTCACTTTATCACTAGATACTGGTGATATCTGGAAATAGACTTCGCTGATATCAGCGGTGTAAGCCTCATTCTTACAAAAAAAAAAATCCCTAGAAAATAGAAGTGAATCTACAAGCAAGCAGGTAATAAAATAATTATTCTTAATATCAGTTATATACATTCAGATGCACTTACAATCTTGGATTTGAAGATATCCAGTAATCCTGACAAGTGAGTGTACTGATTTGGCACTTTGCGAAGATGAACCATTTCGAAGTCAGTTCGAACTCCTGGACCCTGACATTCTCCAACATACATTCGTCGCCATTTATGATGTATTTGCACAAATAGTGGTACCTGACTATAAAACGTGAATATTTTAGATTATTTAAAATGTCATGTTGTCTTGTAGTCTTTAAAACTAGCTAAATATTTTATCATCATTTCATATTCTTTAGAATACATTTTCTCTTACTGAAACACAGTTTAAAATGCTTAATAGGAATCAAAGTTAACCTTACCATTAAATGGAATGCCTAACAAATTGTCATGTCATAAGCATAGCCATATCCAAGACTTCAGGCTAAATACTTTTTCAGTCTAAATATTTTTTGAGGAAGATTAGAAAGTTTCTGTTACCACACATCGTGAAGAAATCCTCTTCCAAAAGTTTTATTTTGTATACCAGTTATTCCAACAACTTCTAGCAGCTTTTAACAGCCTTTAAGGGTTTTAAAGAATAATGAATATAAACAACACATTAAATCAATCTTTTTACAGTTTCCATCGGAAATTTTTTTTTAAATCCTTCTGTTACAGTATTACAGTGCAAATACAACAAACTCTGAATGTATTTTGCTAATAATTTAATACTTTTTCCTCACAATAGCAGTATGCTAGAGTTTTACATGGACATGTAAAAAGGCTTTACCTACCAGCCAGTGTTCCCCAATGCAATGGAAATGGAACTCAGCAAGAGGTTACATTTGGATTCACTAAGAACTGCATCATTATTTGCAGCTGGAGCAATGACCACAAACTCACGTAAGCCATACCTTAATAGAGAGAGGAAAAAAGAGCACATTTCTGGTTTTTGCAACATAGCTGAAACACAAAATTCTCAGAAATATTGTAAATTGAATAACCTAATTGTCACCAAGAGACTGTGGAATCTGTTATTTTGATGCGAGTACCTCTTTCAGAGAGTTCAAGAATTCAGTGGGCATGGAGTGCTGCAGATTCTCAAATCACAAAGTAGCAGAGCTTAACACCATTCAAACACTGTACTAAAAATGAGAACATCCAGGTCTATCAGTCCTGAATTTTTTACTTTACATTACTAACAACTGCAATTTATACATAAAAACAACCTCTCTAGAACAATGCTGTAATGCTGAAGATTTGCATTACTAAGAATTTGGTTGTTGTTGTTTCTGCAGCTTTCCTTTTTAAGAATGCATCTAAATATTACAAATATAAAAGACTGGTTAGTCTATGAAATTCAGAAAAAAGTATATTGGGGAAAACCCAAAAAAGTAAAGGTAAGCCCACTGTGGTGGGCTTTTTTTGCACTCGTTTCCTGTGTACAGTCAGAATCATTTTACTGAAGTTTTAGCTCTTGGTAAAAAAAATAATACAAGTGATTGTGCCAGCATCAAAGATTTTTCAATTGCTATGCTTATTTACATTAAAGATGACAGGCAGAATACATACCATCTTACCAGACAGTGAGCTCTAGGAGGAAAGTCATTGTTCATGCACAGCAAGTCCTGCACAGGCAGAGGAAGGGCATCTGTGGAAAAAAAAATGACAGATAAGAGCATCAGCATCCATTCACCTGACTTACAATTTACTTATATTTGCAATCTGTTGAATGCAAAGCATACTGAAAGAAATGTCAGATCACACCCATCAGATGCACAAAATTTCACACAGAAGCAAATCAACGCACTGTGAACTCCACATTCTGGAATTGTCTTTTGTCATATCCTTACGGGCACGTAAGAGAACTATCAGCTACCTTCTACCAGTTCTTCTTTCCCATCTTTGTCACTGGGTTCCTGTACAAGATAATGATGGGTAATTGAGAATTTGAAGTCTGCAAATGAAATTTCATCTGATTTCTCTTCCCATGCTCCCGTGGTGTATACACCCTGCATATAAAAAAAAGATATTATTTGATCACATAAATTTAGGTTAACATTCATAAGCCTTAAAAAGTATACTGCCTACACAACTTAACATATTTATTTATCTTTTTCTACTGCTGAATATTTATTCTTAAATAGCTAAGCATGGTTTAATTTCAAAAAAGCAATTCTCAAAGCACTTCATTATAAAGGCAGCTGAATGCCAATAATCATGTTCATTTCAAGGACCAGATATACTCCTGAGAAGTCTTTGGAATTATATGGCAATAAAAAGGCAGATATATCTCCTCATATGCAACTACACATCTTAAGTGTATGCACCCTCAACTTTTCCCAAAGACAAAAGTTTCCCACTTGGGATTTTATCTACATCTATACCATTCTACGCAAATATCACTTTATTATTTGCTTCAAATATGCTTTCACTGATAAATGATTTTTTATCTATAATTTGTAAAACTTCTGTGTGTAAAGATAATTTTTTTTAAACAAAAATACAGCACAGAAAAGTTTCTAGGAAAAAAATCAACATCACTGTATAGAATTGTATGCTGCTACTAAAACAAAGCAACTTGGATAACTCTTTGATCTGTAAAGGGCGTCTTCTCATTAGAAGTCAAGAAGAGAAGTCTTATCTAGAAAAGACGACATGTATGAATACACTGACAGCTAAGGTTGAAAACTAGTTCATTAGATAACGTAACTTTTTGTTCTGAATACTCTGTACCCTGACTAAACTTAAGAATCATAAAATTCCTCTGCAAACACAGCCATTCAATCCAGAACAGCTGAATTTATTTTCACTAGTATGCAGAAAGGCTCAGCAACTTCCTCTGCATTTTATAGGACTGAGAAAACACTACAAAGGCTCTAATTAGACTTCGAAAAAAATCTCTCCGATCTATGAAACATACTGAGTCACAAGTAGCACTACGCAAACCTCAACCGTAAGTATGTAAGGCGTGACAAAGGCACCAGGCAGGGCAAAGAGAAACTCCTTAACAATTTAGAACAGCTTCAACCATGTTTCCAGATTCAAAACTGGAAATAAAAAAAATTACTAGGCCCTATATGAAGATCCAACTTTATCAGGGAAACAGCCTGTTTGGCAGACAGCCCACCAATAAATTTACAGCAACTGTTTGTCAAATTCTCACTTTTACAAGCATAACTCCCCAATATGAATCATTATCTGCCACAGCTAAGAAAACAGCAATGCATGTAACATACACGTGTATTACTAGCTAGTAATTCAAATTCTAACAGAAAATTCATAAGCAGTAACTGACCTTTTGTAGAGGTTTGCCTGAAGAAATCCCAATAAGTTTCCAGTCATTCAATACTTCTTCTACTTTTGAAATAAATCTATTAGGGAGGGAAAAAGCATTAATATGTGCTGAACACTAAACTTGTATTATAATTCAGTTCCCTAAAAGCAGGCAATATGTTGTCCTACTACAGAATTCCTTAAAAAAAAACCCAAAGAACAAACGAACAACAAAAATCCCCCACTATCACAATAAAAACAGAATGACTGCTACTTTATACAAATAAAATGGTCTTCCTATGTTTACATTTCAGGCAATAGTTACTTTTAGCAACTGCTATAAGGATGCTTCAAGTGATTACAGAATCTCACCTTTTTCTTTTTCAGGTATTGCAGCATATTAGTTTTAACATACATTCCTGTTTCACTGTTCACAGATAATAAACATTTGAGATAAGATCATAAACTAAATTCAGATTTAAAATGCAGTGCTTAAAATCCTTGTCTCCTGTCACAGACATCGCCACTGACAAAAGCATTTTAAAAAATAATATGCTAAGAATGCAAAAGGATTCTTCACCACTCTTCACCTTAAATTTTCTCATGTTGTACTAACTTTTAAAGGCTTCAGCTATGAGAAGACTAATAATCAGGCAGCTACTTTAAAAAAACATATAAAACTTCTAGATGTTTATTCTAATTCCTTACAAACAGACATTAAACCAGACCTTTCACAAAGTTCAGAAATAGCTTGACTAGATCCTCTTAACCA